CTAGTAGCTGGGACAACTTCTTTATGTTTACAGACGTGACGTAATGACGCAGCGGCATGCTCGAATTTCCCGCGAAAACCTACCCATACCACTCAAATTAGAAAACATTATTAAAAGCTAACCATTGTGAATTGGGCTTAAGTAAGGCGATAGTTTTGAACACTGGCTGGTTATGTACTTGCTCAAATATTGATTTCGGATCATTTTTAACCAAAAAAAGTTACGGACTGCAGCTTCAATATGAATGACAGACAGAAGGAAAATTAGACAGCTGTCGCTTTAAGAGCTTCCCGGGTCCATTTTACTGTAACACGTGCGTTTAAAAGATGGCACGTGTGTTCCAAAGATGGCATTTTGACACCTACACTTATGTATAAGGCCAATAAAGTGCCAAATATAACTCCGTTCAAAACTTGTGCGCTCTAATCTCTCAGACAGCGCTCAGAAACAGTCTCTCTTGTGCATATGGAGAAATTAGTTGTCTTTCGCTGCTGACTGCGATTCAAGCTAGGGCTTAAAATCACTTGTTTTAAACCACAATGCTTAAAAAAGCATACAAATGATAAGCTTTCCTGACCACGCAGCACAACAACCTCACGTGAATGGGTTTCACAGACAAGGCTTGAGCCTAGTCTCAGACTAAAATGCATGTTTGAGCTGTTTTAACTGAAAATGGTTACAATTTAATCAATTGTTTTGCACACCAGTAATGTTTTTTTTTTCTAAGACACGTTTATAAAAGATAGTTAAAAATCCTAATTGAAATAAGGCCTAATGGCTTAATCTAAGCCCTGTCTGTGAAAGCATGCCATTCTTTTTTTATGTATTTAATCATAATGATGTACATTACCAATACGCTTTATGTTGTACTAGATGCACTTTTTTAGAAACTTTCTCTATTAATGTTCCCTGCTAATTAGATAACTACCTAATATTACCTCTGATGTAATTTACTAATTGAATAACATGTTTTACTGGTCGAATTATTTAAAAAAAAATTCTCTGCACGGTGTGGCAAAAAGAATATAGTATTTGTTACAATATAAACGGAATATACCTCGTCTGTCTACAGTTTCTAATTCAGAAAGGCATTTTTTTTTACTCTGTCAGCTCCCTAGTTCACTGGTCAGGGGATCTGCCGTTTTAAGGTATCAGTCTTCTCAATCGCAAAACCATTTCACTGCGTTGAAACGTCTGTTTCTTTAACAGTCATCCTGAAGCGCGAAACAATAATCGTGCATGCAACAGATCTCCAATTATTTTCTCTTCTGGGAATTAGATTTTTTTTTCTTTAACGATAACTCAAAAATGAAGCCATCTGTTGGCATTATTTCAACTACTTTTTACAATAAACAA